CCGGTCCTGGTCTGGTACGGGGGCAACACTGAGGGTTGCGATCCGTCGCCGGACACGAAAAATGACAAAAAGGAAAAAAAAAAAATATCTTGTGGTCTATGGGGACCTTAACTTGGGCAATTATGGCAACTGTGACTACTGCAAAGATGGCTTCAAAGATTAAATCTTTTGTAAGACTATCAATTTATTTAAATCATTTACCCTATTATTACCGGATTGTTTCTCCTTTTCCTCCCTGTTTTGGCACTCTCTTTTCTCCCTAGCTGTCCATGTGATGGTTATGCAAGTTATGTTCTTGGCTGCATCTGCCTTTAGTAATTGCCATTTGCCTGAATTTCCCTGGCTTGCTCTGGAGCAAGTCACCAGTTTCTCCCTCAAGCACCAGCCTCCCAACACTCCAGAACCTGCAGCAGCTAACGCTTACCTTTGTCTCCTTTTTCTCCCTTGTGCCCTCGAGGGCCAGGTGGCCCAGGATGACCTGGTGGTCCGGCAGGACCCCTGTCACCTAGAGAGACAGATGGGGGCATGACAATAATGCATGGGTGCAGGGACTAAAGGAGAAAGCTGAAGGTATGCACAGGTACCCAAGTAGCACCAGCAAGGGAGCTGCTTTTCAGCAAGAGGTTGTTTGCACATAGGATCCTGGTGGCTGTTTCCATGCCACCACTTACCTTTGGGTCCTGGGTTGCCCACGTCTCCCTTCTGCCCAGGGGGTCCTGGAATAGCTCCATGAACTGCAAGGGGGAAAAATTGCCCTGAAGTCTGGGAGGTGGAGTAATTTGTTCAAAGTAACACAGATAGTGATGGAGTTTGAGCTTGTAAGAGGAAAGTTTCGAATGTATCCGATTTTCAGCCTCTCAGGTGTTAATGACTGGGTTTTTTTCATATGGCATCTATGAAGCAGGCCCCATGTGAAACAATGCAGCAAATTAGGTGCTGGGAAAGCAACTGGGATGCCCTTACTTCGGAAGAAGTCCATGAGGTCCTCGGTCACATTGGTGTAGGCAGAGAAGACCTTGCTGATGCCAGGGGGCCCCTGGGGCCCAGGCAGGCCTGGTGGACCCTGGACAGTGTAGGCCATACCTTGCAGTAGGCCTTGACCTGTAAAACACCAGAGCGTGTGTGCAGGGAGCAGGAACTGCTCTGCAGCAGTACAGACTAATTCCTGAAGAAATTAAACTAGACTAAGCTGCAGCTAGGGAAAAGCCCTGCCGACTTCCTTCGTATTCCTGTGTGAGCGGCACAGGTCTCTTCCTGCTGTGGACATTCGTCAAAGGCTTTTTGACTGCATAACTAAGCTGATAAGCTACAGAGAGAAAGGACCTCTTAGCCAACATCCTCCCCTCAGCCCCACCAGAAAACCATCACGGTCGTAATGAGTCTTCTGAGACCCAGAAAAGGTTAGGTGCTGGGAAAGCAAAGTACCAAGACCCCAGCATGCTCTGTTCCCTACAGCTTAGGGTCCAGTTCTGGGGCCGCTTGAGCTGAGCTGGCTGAGAATTAGGATTTCTGTCTTCAGTCCCCGCCCATTTGATTCCAAATTGCTGTCCTCACAGCTTGGGTGCTCCAAAAACAAGAGGGCCAGTCTCTGGAGCCTAGAATTCTAGATGCTCACCTGCCCTTCCCTGCAGCACCAAGCCCGAGGTCCCTACTTACGCTGCAAGCTCTCCGACACCCGAACAGCCAGCTTGTTGTAGTCCAGATCTGTAGCAAAGCCATTGCCACCGTACATGCCACCTTCTGCTGCTGCCCCATAGCCTCCACCTGGGCCAACATCAGTGCCATAGGGGCCCCCGTCTCCTGTGGCTGCACCAAAGGCTCCCCCTTCGCCCAGGGAAGAGCTGTAGGATGTGCCCCGTCTGACAGATGAGCTGTGTGAGGAGGAGCTGCTGCCCCGGCTGTAGGAGCCATCCACTGACACCAGGCGGCTGTCACCAGGCGGTCCTTGTGGCCCAGGAGGCCCTGGTGGGCCGACGATGAAGCTGCGCACATCGGGACCTATGCGTGGGAAGCCTCATGACCAGAGAGAAAGGCTCAGGAGTCATGGGTCTCTCTCAGGGTCTTGACGTCCCTTAGCAACCAGAAGTGGACATTGGGGACCTTGTACACGACTGGGAGAATGATCGTGAGGAAGGAAACTGGGCTGTCCCCACTAGTGGCTCTCGTGTACATGGCTCCGTGACATTTAAGCACCTTGCTGCCCCACTTCCAGGGAAAAGCGAGCCTGGCAGGGGCACCTACTTGTGAGGTAGCTAATCAGCTCGCTCCGGAAGCTGTCGCTGTTTTCAGCCGCATAGGTTGCCAGAGCTCCTGAGACACCTGGGGGCCCTCGAGGACCTGGGGGACCAGGAGGACCTGGAGGGCCTGGGATGGATGACAAGCCAGCAGCTGAGCAGGGGGAAGAGCAAGAGAAAGGTCAGGAGGCAGATATGTCAGGAGGCATGCTGCAGAGACACCGAATCCCCAGCCTGGGCTCAGGGCCACTGGGGGGCCCCACGAGGCTGGGCCTCCTGGGGAAGGCAGGAGGGGACAACAGGAGGCCCAGAGCCTGCCCGCTTCCTGGCATCAGCCGGCAGTGGCTGCTCCTAGGCCGGCCGTCCACCGTGCGCTGAGCCTCCTCAACTCAGCTGCCATCCGCTCCTACCGGCGCCTCCACCTGGGCCCAACCACAGCCGGCTCACGGCTTCTCCAAGCGCTACGCTTGGGAGCTTGGGAGCATCGTCTCTCCCCACTCCCCGCTGCCAAGGCTGGAGGCACCTCGGGAGCCGGCTGGCCCTCTCCGGGGCCCCAGGGCCCAGGCCTGTACATGCTCTAGGATGTGCAGACTGGTGAGCTGGCTGTCTGTGGCTGCCCTTGTAAAACCCACAGGAGCCCCAGGGCCAGGCTGCGGCCCTCTGCCCTCCTTGTCCCCACTCCCCAGCCCTACTATTTAGGTACGATGAAATGTCTTCCACGCTGATGCTGGACCATGCACTGCCTGGGATGCCTGGTGGCCCTGGGGGGCCTGGGGGTCCAACGATGCCTCGGAATTCAGACCCTGAGACATGGAGGAAAGCAAGGAGGTAGTCACAGCCAGGGCCAGAGGCTCTGCTTCCACCCCAAACCTCATGGACAGTTGTCCCTATTCAGCCTTACCTTGGAGCAAGGAGAGGAGCTCCTCATAGGATGTTCCTGGCAAGCCAGGGGGGCCGGGGGGGCCAGGAAGTCCAATGCTGATCCCAGAACCTGGGGAACAAGGTCCCAAGTTGTGATGGATTTAGGCCAGGCAGGAGAGGGCAGATGGAAACACCCCGTCAGAGAGGAGGTCAGACACATTAGTGATTTGGGCAGAAATGAGGTCTGAGAAAGGGCAAAGAGAGGGGTGACAGGAAGAGAGGGGTGGCAGGAAGAGAGGTGTGGCAGGGATTTAGGCCAGGCAGGAGAGGGCAGATGGAAACACCCCGTCAGAGAGGAGGTCAGACACATAGTGATTTGGGCAGAAGTGAGGTCTGAGAAAGGGCAAAGAGAGGGGTGACAGGAAGAGAGGGGTGGCAGGAAGAGAGGTGTGGCAGAAAGAGAGAGGTGGCCAGGAGCAACACAGAGACACGTTCCTGGGTGACGACTCCAAGGGACGGCATCTCTCAGCCCCTGAGAAGAGCACAGGTCAGAAGGTGTCCACACGCTTCATCCTGCTGCTGGGTGTGTGTGTGAGAGACAGAGAGAGACAGTCCTGTGCAAACTCCATGCAGGGCAGTGCCCAAGACACTCATTTTGGCATCCTTGACCATGCTCCTCTACTTGCTCTGGGGTCACAGGTTTGAAGAGCTCTGGACACTGCTTGCCCTGCTGGGTTTGGTACAGCCTGGCAGGAGGGGTCCATGGGGCCATCTCAGGGATGTTTGGCACCTGTATCATCCCAGGCCCCTCCTGACTGCCCAGCCTGCAGAACACAGGCCAGGAGGAAGGCACTCACTTGACATGTAGCTGACAATGCGATTGCTCAGCTCTGTGTAGTCCAAAGACGTGAGGGACACATCTCCACTGGCTCCTGGTGGCCCTGGCGGACCCCGAGGGCCCATCAGGTACTGGCGCAGGTACTGACGCACGTCATCCCCTGGAAAGGAGAGGGTGCATTAGCAGGGACCCACCCAGGCGACAGGGTCCCACACCACTGCCAGCTCCAGCCTGGCTCTCCTGCATGGACTGGCTTTGGGGGACACTCGTGAGATCTGGGCTCTCAGACCCCCGCTGACCAGCAGGAACTCAGCGAGCTTCCAGGTACCTGAAGGGGCACCTGCCTGCTTGCTGGCATCGGGGGCGGGGGAGATGTGCTGCCCGCTTTCCGGGCAGTTTGCTGACCCAGCAATCAGGTGTCTCAGCGAGCTTCCAGGTACCTGAAGGGGCACCTGCCTGCTTGCTGGCATCGGGGGCGGGGGGAGATGTGCTGCCCGCTTTCCGGGCAGTTTGCTGACCCAGCAATCAGGTGTGGTGGCTCCTGTCCCGTAGGACTGCCTCCCGTCTGCAGCCCTCACCGGGCACACACGAGACAATGTCCCTGACAAGTGAGGTCAGGAGGGAGCCGGGATGGTCCCACCTTCCAGCCCACCACCGGCGACTCACGCTGTAGCACAGCCAGGAGGTCTTCAGAAGAGATGGCGGTGGAGGACAGGCCGATGTTGTACCCCGCAGCTGCCAGGAAGAAGACCTCAGGTTACCTGCTTGTCTGGTCCTGACGCAACGCCCACATTGTTCCCGAATCTGAAAGAGCTGGTCAACTGGTTGTTTCTCTTTGGGGGAAGTGAGTGAATGGGGGCATTACAAGGCTGATTTGAAAGCATGGAAAGGTCAACAGTTTTTTTTTGTGAGAAATGCAGTTTGTTTTCGAGAATATGCTTTAGCCTAACTCCTATCAGATACCACCAACCTGAAGGATCTGTTTTCATGAACAGATAAGAAGTGAGAATAATTAGGGTCACACGAGCCCAGCACAGCTCTACAGAGTGGCCTCGGTGCTTAATCTGAGCAAACTCTTGCTGAGGTGTACCCCAGGGGCCTGGTTACCATGAATGCAGAATTAAACTTCACACTTGGGAGAAGCACGCAGCAAACAGCAAGGTGAGAGGCGGGGCTCAGGGACAAAAGCGGACGGGAGGCCGCAGGCCCTGGGTGGAGGCTTACACTGTAAGTAGCTCACGACGTGGCTTGCCAGCTCTGAATAGTCGAAAGTCTCGCCCAAGAAGGTGGTGACAGGCCCAGGGGGACCAGGTGGGCCCGGGGGACCCTGGACTCCAGACAGATAAGACCTAATACTGTCACCTGCCAACAAAGGAATAAAGCAAAGTCAAGGTTGTCCCCTAGAGGGCATGTCTTCCTCACAGAGGTGACCTGAAGCACATGGTAAAATACCTGCCTCACCCGACACACAGGCCCAAGCAGGGAGCCTAGACTCCCTTTGTCACAGATGGGGAAACTGAGGCAGGGGCCTGTGCTGGGTCAGATGGTCCGTAAAGGGTGTGGACCAACCAGACTCCAGTCAGCCACACTTTTGACCAATGTCCCATATGCAGGGGTGAGGCGGGGTGAGCACACACGTGGAAGTGTGTGTGATCGTGCATGCGGATGAACGTGTGCGTGTGGGAGCCTGCAGGCGGGGCGAGGAGGAGGCCGTGTGTGAGCAGGCGTGAGTAGGCAGGTGTCGGGGAGCATGCCGGCCTTGGGCCCAGTGCCAGGGGTGGGGACATGGGCCTGGCCGTGAAAACTGCTCCCCTGACCTGCACACACACACATGTACACACGTGTGCACACGTGTGAACACGCACTCTCTCCCGCTGCCCTCCTCCGACCCCAAGGTTTGGGGTGGCCGGCCACTCACTCTGCATGTACTCTGAGATGTACTGCTGAATATCCAGGCCGGAGCTGCTGATGGAGCCTGGAGGCCCAGGGGGCCCGGGTGGGCCTGGCGGGCCTGGCATGTACATGGTGCTTGAAGATCCCCCTACAGGAAAGAGAAAGCGTCCTGATTTGGTTTTTCCATCCTAGGGTCAAAGAGGGGCCAGGCATTGTTTCCACATTTGGGGGAGGGAGAGTCTTTCTCAGCGGGAGAAATAGGACAGTGGCAAAGAGAGGGGTCCCCAAGAGAGAGCAGAGGAGTGCCTGCGGCAGCCATTATGCAAGGGGCACAGAAATGGGGGCTGTCCCAAGCCAACCCCTTCCTTCAGCAGCCTGCCCTCCGCCCCACACAGTCTCTCTCTGCTCTGAACACCACGGCACCCAGGGGCTGCTCTGTCCATCACTCGCCATCCAGCCTTGTCAGTTGTCTTTCCATATGCGCGGGTCCTCCCGCCCGGCCCCACCAACTTGTAACCTCCTTAGAGGCAGCTCATAGATCCAAGCCCGTGGAGAAACTACCCAACCAATACTGAATCACAGATAAATAAATGAATGAATAAATCAACATCCTCAGTGGAATGACCAGCCTTGCTTAATGAAGGGGAGAAGAACTTTGGTCATCTTTGTTTCTTACCTCGAGAGGGACCACCAGGAATGCCAGGAGCCCCTGGGACACCAGGATCACCTGGAATCCAAAGCGAGAAGCCCTGTTTGCATCACCCCCTCCAGGAAGCCTTCCCTGGGTAAGCACAACCACATTCTTAGTGTGGGGCCCAACAATTGTCCTATGTCTCTTAGGCTCATTTCTGCAGTGATACCACAAGCTCCCCGTGGGCAGAGACAGGTCTCCATGTCCTTGTCCCTTTCTCTCCCTGCCTCTCCTTTCTTCAGCCTCTTCTTTCTCGCAGGTCTTTGGCACCGAAAAGTGCTCGCTGCCTCCTACCCAGGCTCTGGGCACTGGGAGCCAGACTCCCACTCCTCACCACATCCTTGGCTGCTCCCTCACTGCCCTTTATCACCTTTGGGTCCCTGAGGGCCGGGTGGGCCTGGTGGTCCCTGCAGATTGAGTCCGAGAGAACTGGACCCTGGAAGCCAATAACACACACAGTGCAGTCAGCCAGGCTGGGAGAGGTACTGGTCAGAGCCAGGATGGGGTGGGATGGCTCAGCACTTACCCGAGGTTGAGAAGCCTGGGAGGCCTCGTTCGCCTGAGGACACACCAAGAGGGACAGTCAGTCTCACTTTCCTCCCTTCCAGAGGCTCTCTGAGACCCATGACTGCTGGGCTGCATCACCCTTTGAGCAGTACCTGGAGCTGCCACCCACTCACAGACACCCCGAGTAGAAGCGCACACACCCCCTGCAGTCCACACATGCAAATAATTACTCAACTGTGCACAGACACACACTCGGATCCACCCTTGCTCATGCGGACCAAGTGCATCTCCAATAGGCCCTAAGCTCCTGGAAGGTCAGCTGCTGCCACCCCCGCCCCACTTCAGCTTTTGTTGGATGCCAGCTCTACTGTACCCTGGTGTCCTCAGGGGCCTGGGTGACCTGAGGGAAGGAGTCAGAGCCTGTGAGACATGTTCTAACCAGGTGTTGTGGCTTACAGGGGCCCGTGGAGGAGGGGATTGGGGCTCCAGGGCTGGAGCAGACACAGAACTTGGGGCTCCTTGTGCCTCTCCTTCCACCAGGCCAGTGCAGGGGCAGGGATTCTTTGTAGAGTTTTCAACCACTCAGACTTCCCCCAGCCCGCCCCGTGCTCCAGGCTGCTGAGCTCTTCCCCAGCTCATCCTGCCTCATCCAAACTCTCCTGGCTGCCAGCTGGGTAAGCGGGTGACACATTGGCTCCTGGGTTCCTGGAGATGCTGTTCTCACCTTGGTCTCCCTTGGGGCCAGGGGGGCCAGGAGGGCCTGGGGGTCCGGAGAAGAAGGTTTCTGCAGAGGAAAGAAATAGTTTGAGCATGGACATAGTGATGTTTGTGAGAGAGAAGCACCTAGCACAGAGTCTGGTACACTGTAGATGCTCAATCAATAGTTGTTGGATGGATGAATAGGTAGACGGGTGGGTGATGGGTAGATTTCCCACTGGGTGCAAGTTCTGGCATAATGTTTGCTCTAAAGTTATTTCCATAAATTTCTATGTTGTACTGTCAACATTTATCTCGTGACATGTTCGGGTAGGTATCCTGCCTATTTTATCAGACGTGGGCTACCTGAGCATAGACACTAGGTCTCCCCAGTTAGTCCAGAAGCTCCCCAAGGGCAGAGCTGGCTCCCTCCCTCAGGCTAGGCTTCCAGGGTGGTCGAGTTGCCATGGTTTTTTCTCCCACGAGCAGCAAGTAGCAGGAAGATCACATACACATGCCCCCAGTGGAAGGTCAGAAGGAGGAAGCATCGTGAGTGGGTCAGGAAGGCCACAGGCTGTGACCACAGCACGTACCAGTGCTAGGGTTGAGGTGGAGACTCCGTACATTACCTGAGTTGAAAGATCCTGGAGGGCCTGGTGGGCCTGGCAGGCCTTCCCCTAGATAAGAGAAGCCCCAAGACTTAATAGTGCCAAGAGGGGGGCCAGGAGCCCTCTGTCCAGGAGGAGAAGGCAGGGATGCTCTTTCCTAAGAGCTGGTCCAAGGGGCCTGGGCTCTGGGTCCCACTGTCACCCACCATACCTTCCTCCTTCCCCTCCCACCTCCCAGCAGGGAGCTTGGGTCTCACCTGGTGGGCCTCGGGGTCCTGGGGGGCCTGGAATGGAAGGCCCTGAAGAAAAGAGTGGGGAGGAGGCAGTGCTGAACTCAGGGGGCTGATCGTGCCTTGGGAGCAGGGGCTTCCTTACTAATTGCCTTGAGTCCCTTGTCCCCCAAGACTCCCCACCTTCCAGAAATCCCTGAGGTGCTCACCTGGTGGCCCACGTGGCCCAGGTGGGCCTGGGGGACCTTGTAAGTCAAGACCTTCTGTGGAGAGAAGACAGAAGTGAGCAGTCATGGGCTGTTTTTTGCCACGCTCTTCCCCTCCCCCCAGGGCCAGCAGTCCCAGGCCTCCAGGCTACACTCACGCCCCAAGGCCAGCCCTGAGCTATGGCACAGGACCTCCAGGACTCCATCTGCTAAGGGTGCCCCTAGCTCAGAGGCAGGGTGGGCTGTAGTCAAACTCGCTGACAGCTATGTATATGGGTAGGTACATGGAGTGAGGGGTAAGAACTTGGCTTCAGTGTCAGCCTGAGTTCAAATCCCTGCTCTGACACAGCTGACTGGTGGCTTCGGGCAAGTTCTCCACCTCTTTCAGCCTCAGTTTCCTCCTCTGTAAATCAGAGTTAATAAGACCTACATCACAGGGGTGCTGTGATGACTCAGGGAAATACCGCTGAATCCTAAGCCCCTATCACAATGTGGGCACACAGTGACTGCGGCTCCAGGTTGGCTGTCCTCTCTGCTGTTCAGCATTCCAGCTGTCCATGGGAGGCCCAGCAGCATCTCCACCTGGGCTGTCTAAAGGAGGGCCGGGGCCTGTGGCTGAGCACCCATGGATCCCGGTCATTGCTCTTTGAGTGGGGCCAGCGGGGTCCTCCTGGAATCCTGGAACCTCTCTGACAGCTGCCCATCCCCAGTGACTCACCCTCCCACCCCATACAACCCCCTGCTGTTCCTTCTCGGCAGAGGAACTGGTCATCCACACACTGGGGCCAGTGGATGACTCATGGTACAGGTGCTATTTCTTCCCCTCCCACCCCCAGCGTCACCTGCCCTGGGGAATGGTGGCACTCACGGGTGGAGAGGAGCTCGGCGATGGAACTGCTAGTACCAAGGAATGATTCACCAGCAAGTCCTCGCTCCCCTCTCGGGCCTGTGGGAAAGGCACAGAGTTAGGGTGATCTCTGCCTGGAGTGGGCCCAGGTGCCAGGTGAGGAGCGGGCTGAGCGGGGGGGCGGGGCCAAGGGAGAGTGGGCGTGGCCAGGGCATCGACTGCAGGCCTGTGTGCGGCCAAAACACCCTGGGAGGAACTGGGCATGCTTTTCCTAAGCCTGGCTGTTTTTTGGAATTTGGACAAATCGCTGGACAGTGGCATGACTGCTAGGGTCTGGTCACAAGGGGCCTGAGGACTGTGAAAATAACCAAGCTCGACCTGGACTAGGGGGCCAAAGAGCCTCAATCTCCCTGTCTTGAGGACCCCTACCGTCTCAAACATGGAAGGGGGCGAGAGGGAGGGTCTCCTCCAGCAGCTGAGGCCTTGCGAGGCCCCTGGTGAAGAGCCCTGGAGACCCTTCTCCTCCCCTTCCGAAACACACGTCTCCCACTTCATCTAAAGTACAGGGGCCCAAGTCCACCCAGGGTAGAAAGTCCTGCCTGAGCCCACAGTCCTGTGTTCTCTTGGCGTGTGACATACCTTGCTGTCCCGGGAGACCAGCTGGGCCGGCAGGGCCTGGAAGTGAGGTTGGGGAAGAAAAGGCTAAATCAGACCTTTAGGGTCACAGGAAGAAGTGAAGGAAGGGCAGGCACCTGGGCACACTCACGATGTCCTCACAAGGTGACCAACAGTGACCCAAAGAGGTCAGCTCGCTTATTTGAGTCTAACAAGCAATTTGAGACCAGCCCCATGGTCCACCTCTGTGAGAATGTTTCTGACAGGTGCTGGGACCTGGGGGCGGCAGGACTGTCCTCTCTGATGCTCTTCTTCAATGGTTGGGGACTTTCTCCTGCCTGGTGTCCTCCCTGTCACTGGAGCTTGTCAGGAGGGAAGGCTAGTACATACTTGCATCGGTTGTGTTAAGTCATGTACTTCATTTGTATATAAAAATTTGTAATAATTAAAAAATATGCAAAACAATATAGCAGGTATTTTGGAAAAAAATGGAGAAAAATCACTTCTTTAACTTATGAGAATTTTGTTTGATTTCCTTCCAGCATTTTTTTTGCATTTTGTAAAAATATAGTTGCAGTCACAGAGCACACATTATCATCTCCTGCTCTTTTCAATACCACTGTTATCGCCTAACAACTTTTTTCTTTTTTTTTTTAGTTTTATTTTATTTTGTCAACATACAATGTGGTTGATTACTGTGGCCCATTACCGAAACCTCCCTCCCTCCTTCCTGACCCCCTCCCTCCCAACAAACTTCTTTCTGTTCACTTGTCTTATCAACTTCAAGGAATTGTGATTGTTGTGTCTTCTCCCCCCGCCCCCCAGGTTGTTTGTGTATTTATTTATTTATTTTTAGCTCCCACAAATAAGTGAGAACATGCGATATTTCTCTTTCTGTGCCTGACTTGTTTCACTTCATATAATGCTAAGTCCATCCATGTCTAACAACTTTTTTCAAAAGTTTTCATATTTTCATAACCATCCCATCACTGTTTGACGATATGGGGAAATTTTCTCCTAACAAATTCTTAGTATTTTTGTCGCCCTTGATGCGTATAATCAAATTGTTTTCCAAGAAGAAACAAAAGGCATGAGGGCCAAGTGTTCTGACCGGCTGCAGGCTCTGAAGGCCGAATGATCTGGATCGAATCCTTGCCCTGCTGCTTATTGGCTGTGTGGCCTTAGGCGAGTCATTGCCAGCGCTGAGCCTCAGCTTCCCTATCTGTAAATGCTGAGACAAGCTTCAGCCTCCTGTGCCGTGAGGTGGACTAACTGACCTACCTCACTGGCCCAGAATGCAAGAGTTCGGCTTCTCGGGCCCCCCTTCCTATTTTCCGGATCCTGCCCTGGGTTTCAGGATTTGAGTGAACGCGGCTAGAATCAAATGCAACCAGGGCCTGATGCTGATTTGAGGCAAAGCATGAAAATGGACTTACCTGGGGCACCTGGAGGTCCTGGCGGTCCCAAGGCTCCAGGAGGTCCTGGGGGGCCTGGAACAGTGACTGTCGAGGACCCCTCTGAAAACAGAAGGCACGTGGAACACTGAGCCCCAGTGTTCTTGCTCAGAGGTGCTGGGACCCCAACTAGGCTGGTGTCCCCTAAACTCCCCTCCTTCCCTGGCTGCTGAGCAGTGACTGTCGAGGACCCCTCTGAAAACAGAAGGCACGTGGAACACTGAGCCCCAGTGTTCTCGCTCAGAGGTGCTGGGACCCCAACTAGGCTGGTGTCCCCTAAACTCCCCTCCTTCCCTGGCTGCTGAGACAGAGCTCACTGCCACACCTGCCACAGCCCTGTGCCTGCAGACTGGTGCTTCTTGGAGGACATCAGGCAGAACCAGGGCAGGTGCCCCGTACATGAGAGATGAGGATACCAGAAGGAGGGTTCCTCCCGGACCTGCTTACCTGAAGTCACGATCTTGCCTGGAGCTCCCGGTTCACCTGGGAGGGGAGGAAAGGAGGAGAGAGGGTGTTCCAAAGGTCAATTAGTGGCTCAATAAATCATTTTCAAGGCTTCTGATTGCATTTGAGCCCCACTTCTGGGCCTCTCACCCTCTGGCTGAAGACATGTTAATGAACTGGAGGGGAGTGTATAGGGGGCATTAGGCACTGGTCTCTCAGCTGGAGCCCCTGGAGGCCGGGTGTCAATTTCACTCAGGGCAGGGGCTTCATTTGAGGAAGTGGGAAAGTCTGCCTGTCAGTGAGGCCGGAATGAGTCTGACTTGAGAGTCACTCACATTCCCCCATTCCATCTTCTCTTCCTGGGAATTGTCTTAGGTGGGAAAACTACCCGAAGTTCAAAAGACAGAGGCGGTGAGCCCAGGCGGTGGACAGGGTTCCCAGAGCGCTCCTCAGAACCCCAGTTCCCCGGGTTGTTAAGAGTAACAGGGCTGTGCGGAAGTCACAGGGGGCTCCGTGGCTGGTAAGTCTGGGAAATCCTGAGTTACATAAAGGTTAACAGATCTCTTTTCTGCTTTGGGTCTCAGAGCATTGAAATGCAAATGTACGTGGAGGACTTCCAAGAAGAGGATAGCTGATTTAAACGTTCCCAGAATTACTGACCACCGGATGCATCTTTTGGAACTGGCAATTCAAGGCCTTGTATGGGGAAACTAAATGTGTGGAGTAGGAGAGGAAAAGCCCCTCCACTGGGATTTCTTTACAGGCCTCTGTTTTCATTTCCCAAGGTCTGTGAGCAATGAAATCATTCCTACAGTAAAAGGATGGTATTGATTTCCCCTTAGGGGAAGCAGAAGGATGGTCTCTGCTTGCTGTCCTCCAGCTGGGGGTCAAGGCCAGGACGGGAGAGAGCACTTGCGTTTGTCTTGTGAGAACACAATCAAATTTTAGGGAGGGTTTTAGTTATCCTCAGATAGGAAGTCACGGGCCCTTGAGAAGGGTAGGGTTTCTGGTATCCCCAGGGATCCTCAAAGTTATGAGTCTCTTACTAAAGGTACCATCCATCCATGAACAGATCTGCGGACACAGAGACTTGTCTGGCTCAGATGTATGAACTCAGTCATCATTATTTTGGAGTTACACTTATTTGTCCTGAAAGAATGCTTTTGCCCAATCAGTCTTTGGAAATAGTTTCTGGAAAGTAGGTGAGGGTGACAGTGACTGTTCATGATAGAGCACACTCCACGGAGAGTCTGGGTTCAGGAGCGTGTGGTCACAGGGACAGAAAGAGAAAGACTGTCCTGAGCACTGTACATCCTGGGTTGCTCAGGGCTGGGGTCTGGAGGGCAGAACCGGACAAGAGTTCCATGTACTCAGGTCACCACATTGCCCTGGTCAGACTCCTGAGGATTATTTCCCCTCTTAGTGCTTTGACTTTGCCCTCTTAGTAGCATCTTAGCACTCCTCTCTGCCTGTATTAAAGCCGCCTCTCAGGAAGAATCCGGTATACCTAATCACACCTAGGCCTTGTGAATGATAAGGCCAAAGGTGTTTCCTGTCCGGGGGAAGTCAAGGACCAATCCTAGGCAAGGGGGTGAAGCACTGACAGGGGCATTTCAGAGGCAAACTAGGGATGTCAACGCTTTGGGGAGGGCAGCACCCTTCCAGATCTTCCTGCGATGAAGGCTGGGAGACATGAAGGTGAGGCACAAGTTTGTGTGGTGGAGAGGTGAGTGGGGCAGGGCCCTCAGCATGAATACCTGGGCTCCCAACCTCACAGCCTTATGCTGGAGCCACTAGATGCCACTGTTGATCCAGGCTCTGGCCAGACAGGGCCTCCCTCCTGCCAATCCGGCCCCAGTTCAAACATGGCTAGTGAATGCAAAGAGCATCTCATTTGGAAAATCACTCACCTTTAGTCCCTGGTCGGCCAGGTGTGCCAGGAAGTCCTGATGTGATTGGAAACAAGTCAGTCAGGATAAAGAGGGTAACTCCAGACCCCGTGGGGAGTGACTAGCCCTCAGTCACTCAGCGATGCTGCAACCCCTGATTGAAATTCTGAGACCCATCGGCTTCCTCTACACTTTAGCCCAGCAGCCCCCAGGGCAGCCTCCTGCTCTGACTCTTCCCTCCCCAGGAAATGGGACAACAGCTGAGCTTGAGGCAGGCAGAGGCCCAGGACTCAGCTTAGGGGGACTCCAGTCCCTCTGTGTCATGAGCCACATGGAGCCTGCAAAGCAGCCACTCTCCCCACCTCTGTTCTGCAGGGTAGGGACTGGGCTTCCTGACTCCCATGCAGCACTATCTTGCCTTTAGCTACTGAACTCTTCACCTGAGAGCGTTCAAAGCATATCACTGAGTTCAACTTTTGGGGGGCCGCTACCTGATTTAATTTCAAATCTTTGCCCCATTTCCTTTAGGAAATGAAGTTTCTCAAACTCAAATGGGTGCATACTTGTCCAATGATAGGACAGCATTTACCACTGAGGTTGTCTCAGAGAAATTTAATTTCAAATCTTTGCCCCATTTCCTTTAGGAAATGAAGTTTCTCAAACTCAAATGGGTGAATACTTGTCCAATGATAGGACAGCATTTACCACTGAGGTTGTCTCAGAGAAACTGGGCCCTCCCACACTAGCGTGACGCCCACTTGCTACTGTGCCAGTGGGGAGTGTGGCTTCTGTGGGGCTGATGGGTCTACTGACCAGCAGGAGCTCCCCTGTGGGCTCAAAGCCCACTCCTGGGGATTCCTGCACCACAGGGGAACAGGGCACTGGCAGACAGAATCGGCACATGATCTACCTCATTTCTACCAGAATGGCATTCTAGATTTTCTGTGAGTATTTTTCCTTCCAAAGTTGCTTCTCAAGATTCGCAGTGACTGGACCCGAGCCCCTGTTTGCTGGGGGAATTGGAGGAGGGGTGGAAACTCTCAGGTGACTGGAGGGAAAGCACTAGCTGAATGGCTGTCCCAGGAAGAGGTGGCAGGTGGCATTTGGAGGTGGGGTGACCTGATGACTCACCCTGAGGTCCTTGGGGTCCTGTGAGACCTACAGAAAATGAGACAAAGAGGGAAGAATTGAAGGGTTAAGGGTGATCTCTGAGGAGCCCACCACCCTCACCTGCAGGAGCAGGTGGACGTGGCAGCGGAGGGGTTGGTGGGTGCAGGGGACAGGTCCCACATGGGGCAGCCTGACCCCAGGGTTCTCCCAGTACTGGATGGATAGCAGTTCTTTGGGCTTTGCAGTGAAGTGATCCAGTGCTCCATCGGGCCTATCTGGGTTCATAGACACTTCCAGAATCTGAGGAGAACCACAAACCAAGAACGCTCACCCCTCATGGACCAAAAATGCTGTCCAGGCCCCTCCCTGTGGCTCCCATCTGTGCCCAGCCAAAGGAGACAGAGCCACCTGCCCTCAGGGTCCCCTGATTAACACGTTCTTGGCTGGTTTTTCTATGTTCTTCCTCTAGCCCTGAGTCTAGCTCTCGCCTGGCCTTGGTGGAGACTCTAACAAAGTCTTTTCTCCTTGGACTGGTGGGCAACGGTGAGGGTCCCAGTACAGCCCCAGGGGAGGAAGACAAGAGGGGAAGGCCAGAGGAACAAGATACTGAAGTGACATTCAGGTCTGCAATTTTAAGAGTCCTTGCCCCTTTCTAGAACTCGTTGCTTTCAGCCATTAATCCCTCTCTTCCAAATTGCCAAACTTGGTAACCTGGAGGTGGCAGGGCCCATAGCCACTGCACACAGCACAACCTAACAGTTGTGGCAGTTCCTTCCCGAGCTGCTGCAGGAGTGTGGGTAAGGCACATGCAGGTGCACTCATGCACACCCACGCACACACATGCACACAGCCATACACACACTTGCCCACCCCCATGCCCGCACACACACCAAACAGGACCAAGGCTCCTGTCCCTGCTCTGTTACCTGGCTTTCCTGGTTCTCCAGAGCTCATGCACACCCACGCACACACATGCACACAGCCATACACACACTTGCCCACCCCCATGCCTGCACACACACCAAACAGGACCAAGGCTCCTGTCCCTGCTCTGTTACCTGGCTTTCCTGGTTCTCCAGAAGGTCCTTGTGGGCCACGGATTCCAGGCATCCCTGTGAGACCTTGTTCACCTAGACAGAGCATGACCAGGGCAGAACCGTTTTCCTCTTAGGAAAGCTGAACTGCCAGTCTGAGCTGATGGTTTCTGGGGGTTCTCCTGACCAACTTGCTGGCATGTGGAAAGCAGAAGGGGAACAAGAAGTGGACCTAGCAAGTTCCATGTGCCCTGGGCCCCTCTGGCATTACGACTAAGGGGTCTGGGGCTGCATGCCGGGTGTGGGCAGGGCAGGTGGCAAGTGTGAGGACAGCAGATCAGTGACCAACCTCTCAGGCCTTGTTGTCCATCGGGGCCAGCAGGGCCTGGTGAAGCAGAAGCAAAGGCCATCAGTTCTCCCAGAGCTTTTTCTGTGACTCCCGCTGTCCCCTGTCTCACCAGCCTGGAAGCTGTGTCTCCCGGGGGAGCCTACGCAGCCCTGTCACCATTACACCCTGGGGATCCGTGTCCTGCCTCCCTCCGTTATTGTCTGTCTTCCTTCTGAGAATTGCTCAGCCGCTCCCTGTCATCCTCCAAGAGCTCGGATGTCACTAAGTGTCTCACTTACTTGAAGTCCTGGGAGTCAATGTCCTCCTCATTCTTGTCTCCTCTGCTCCAGGCATTATCCTAACCTCTATCCAAAGTGCTGCCCTCCTGGGACCCTGTGTTGCCCTTTCCCACCTCTTTGTCTTTCCTCATTCGTGTTGTTGTCTCTGCATGGACAGAGTTTTCCAAGGTGCTCATGATCAAAACCTTCCTAACTTTTTAGGACCTGAAATGCCACCTGCACCATCCTTCTGGTTGGAAGAAATCACTCCTGCTATATCCTCATAGAACTCCGTACCTTTCATGGCTCTTGTCATCTCATGCAAGCTTTATCTCCCCTTGAGGGTGCCCTGCATACAGTCAGTGCTTACTAACAGCTGGTTAAATGAGTGAGAGTGAGGACGCACCCTCTGAAGGCTCTTGGCCAGCTTCCACGTCCTGGCTGGTAGCCCCTTAGGAAGGGGCAGCAAAAGGGAGAAAACCTGGGGCTGGCTGCATGACTATCCTGGGGGTGGAACATCAGTGGTTCCAAAGGACCTCAACACTTGTCTGTCCTCCCCACGGGACCAGGGAGCTTGCTAGCAACAGCCAAGGTGGATGGGCCCTGTCCTGCCAAGCTTCCCAGAGTGTGAGAAACCCAGACACCTGCAGTTCTCTGAGCCCCACGAGGGATGCCCAGTCCCAGAAACTGCCCATAAAGGGAGACTCTACCAGTGGGAGGGCAGGTTAGAGAGCAGGAGACACCAGCTCTAGAAGGATCTCTCCAGGCCATGATGCCCACTCAAGGGAGGTAGACCCACTGCATCGTTCCTTTGGGACACTTACCCATTGCTCCTTTAGCCCCGGGCTCGCCCACGGCTCCAGGCAAACCTCTCATGCCAGGCTCGCCTGCAAAGGACAAAGGACTAGCTGGTTGGAGGCTTGCGAGCCACGCATGCTTTGACAATGGCAGCATGCTTCCACCTCCTCCCTGCCTCTGACCAGGCCTGCCCCCTCCCCAGCCACAGGAGGTTGGGGATGCAGCTTCTGCTTTGATTCCAAGGTCAGGGCCACCTGGTTCCCTTGGGCAGCAGGCACAGACCCAGAAACCATGCCTGATTTGAAGGGGCACATGTATGAGTCTTATTTCCTCGGAAACAGAAAGCACCCCCCTTTTTAATCATGCCGGCTGGCAGGAGGTAGCAGCTGAGATGGCTCAAGTTGTGCAAACTTTCTGCCTTTTTGGGAAGAGCTTGATTTTCCCAACCGGATTCCCTAAAAGAATCAGAGACAGCCCTAAACTCTCCTTCCTGCCCCATGCATTTACTGTTTGGACTGTACACTTGATGTTTCCTTATCCTCCACTCAGGACTTGATTTTATCTTGTCTTGTGCTTTTTCTAGGTTGCAAGTTCCCTGAAGGTTTTTAGAAAGAGATTCTGTCTCACACTTCTGTATGTTTCTCTACCTCCAGTGACCGATAGATTTACAAAAAGTCAAGAACGGATTGAAGTAGTTTCCTGTGTAGGACTGACCTGTGAGGCCGCGGGGTCCTTTCTCGCCCTGGTCACCTAGAACAGATATGGGGAAGGGGAGGAAGTGTCAGTGTGAGCGAGAAAAACAATTGCCCCAGGGACAGGGACCCTGGGCAGCAGGATCGTTCACACCGGATGTGTAAGCTCGTGTTGGCAGAATGCAGCCAGAGGAGCACGTCCTACTTCTCGCAGGGTCAGGGTCTCCTCCAAACTGGCCCCAGCCTCTGCATTGTGTAAATGGGTGACGTGGGCACAGGATGGGCAGAGTAGGGGACAGACACTTGGCAATGCTGCATCCACATCACCCTGAGGACCACTCAACCAAAGCAATGTGATGTTGTTGCTTTGTTCCCCTTTTTGTGCCTCAGTTTCCCTATCTGAGAGGTTGGACAAGAGTGTGCTCTTAGATCCCTCTCTCAGTCCCAGGGCCTCGCAGCCAGAGTCTTGTGTGTCCTCAGACCCCATGGTGGGGGTCACATCTGGGTTTCTAGGAGCTGGGCAGACTCTAGTCATGATGGAGCAGCAGTGGGAACAACATACCTTTAGGTCCTGGTGGTCCCATAGGTCCTTTGTCACCTGGAAAGGAAATGGCCACCTTGGTGAAAAGAGCCCTGCAAGGGATGACCAGGAAGGGGCAATGCTTGCCTCTGAAGAGAGGCTGCCCCCATCCTGTCATGTGTACATGCTGGGGGTCATGTCCATCAGACCCTCCCAGTCCCTCCAAATCTCCCCACAAGCTTACCTTTGACACCAGGGAGTCCCACTTCACCTCGGAGCCCTTGCAGACCTACAGAACCTGCCCAGCAGAGGAAACCATGCAGGTGGGTGAGTGTCCCCAGCTTTGGAAGGGACAGACACTCAGATACATGCACCACACAAGTGTGCAAACACACATGCATGCACACACGCACACACACATCCTAAAATAAAGGTTAAGAGCTGCTTTCCACGGACTCCTCCCCATGTCCTTGCTAAATTATCCTGGCCCAAGCTCCTTGCCTCTGCCGATCACCAGGCCCTGGACATTAGAACATCTTGTAGGACCTTGGCAGAGACATTGGCTGCACTGGAGAGTCTCAAGACAGCAGGATGGGCTCTGTGGTACATGGGGATGAGGCAGGGGCAGGCTCTTGCTCAGATGAAGGCAGGATGGGAAGTTCCTATTGCTGAAGCTGCTTGAGGGTCTCAGGCCCCAAGCCAGGTCAGATTGGAGCTGGACAGGACCCATGGGGTACCCAACCTCTGCCGTGGGGACACACACGCATGGACTTGAGTTGTGTGTCTCCAGGGGCTCTCTTCATACTTGCTGCTTTTGCTTTAAAAATGTTTGTTTTTCCTTTTAACATCCCTTTCTTGGACCCAGAAATAGCACCTAGTTACAGAAGGTAGCTCACTGACCTGGGGTGCCCCGGGGACCGGGAGAGCCACTGGAACCTGAGAAGGAGAGGAGACAATTAGCAGAGGGATCCCCAGGTGAAGGGAAGGTGGTGGTGGTGAGGAGCTCATGTGCAGGTGTGGGCTGCGCATGTGCACATTGCCCACACAGTGTGGGTTCTTGCCAGGACCCCAAGTCAGTGGGTCCAGGAGTGACCCCCTGCAATGTCCTCCTTAGGGAGGAGGCTACAGCTGATGGGATCAGGAGACCCTTTGCTCCTCTCTGGTCACAGTGAGACATGTGGGCTGGGGCAGCAGTGAGGTGAGAGGTGACCAGATGGGCATCAAATGGTGCGAAGGGGCCCTCCTCCCTGCGTTGTCCAGACACTTTGCTTTCAAAGTGTGCCTCTGGATCCCAGTCAGTGGAGGAAATGGTCTGACTTCCAATATTCTGTGTGATCCATCTACCCACTCAGGCATCACACATCAGGGTCATTGAAGAGAGGTGGAAACACGGTCCCAATCCCCCAGCACAAAGCCAAAGTTACAGCCCCATTCTGACCCCCAGGGATTCCTTTGTAGGGGATGCTCCCTGGACCCGCTGCCCCTACACAGGCTTGGGGCAGTGGGGTCAGGCTGGCCGGGGTCTCAGGGCCTCTACTCTCCATCCTGGAAGTGGCCCCTTCCCTGGCAACCTTGGGTACCACGTGGGCACTTGACTTACCTTTGGGACCCACGGAACCTGGGACACCAGGTGGGCCCTGAGGGCCTGGTTCACCAACAGCCCCTGAGGACACACAGAGGATGAGCACTTGGAGAGAGCCCCCCAGCTGGCTGTTGCCCAGCCCATGGTACCATTTGGAGAGGATGCCTCCCACCTTGCCAGGGGTCTCTGATTTATTTGCCACCTCTGTGAGGCCACTAATCAACAAAACACCTCCAGTTTCTTCCCCCAGAGCCTTTATATTCCATGAAGTCTGGCACCTAGTAGGTGCTTAATAAATGTTATTGTCTGGTTGAGCAATATTTTTAAGAGAAGACAAAACTCAAAATAAAGCTTCTTGCTTAGTCTTTTGGTACTGAGAGGATTTACTTTCCCTGATAAAAGTTGTCTCACGATTAAGGATCTAATTGCAAAATCTACTCAGCCCCCTTCAGTCCTGGGCCTGTGTCTGGGGCTTCCCTGCCCTGCTCCCTGCCTCGAAGCCTGCACCCCAGCCCACCTCCCTCTGCTCTCCACCTTGGCCTGACTCCTTGCTCTCTTCACCACCCCACTCTGGAAAGCAGATCTCCTGTGACCTCCGTCCCCTGGATTCCAAGCATTGCTGATGGTCCCCAGCCTCAGCCCACACCCCGTTGCCAGACTGCTGTCTTTGCATGGCCTCGCACAGACCCCGGCTCAAGGTGGGCGCTCAAGAAATGCTACTAAAGGAAGGAGGGAGGGAGAAAGATGGAACGAAGGAAAGATACACGCAGCTAAACCTCCTGGTGAAGCAATCGCCTCTTACCTCTGTCTCCTTTCTCTCCAAAGCCAGGAGGCCCTGGTTCACCGCGAGGTCCCATGGGGCCTTCCCGCCCTCTCTGGCCCATGGGTCCTTCCATGCCGGAATCTCCTAAAGACAGGAATGGCCAATTTCAGAGTTAGGATCCTAAGCCACAGCTAAGGGCTCCACAGCGGCCTCTTGCACTTGCTTGGAGCCTTTTCCCAGGTCTCCCTGCTTCTCCCCCGGACCCCTGTAGCCTCAGCTCAACCCAGAAGCCAGTGTGACTCCTTGAAAGTGTACATGGATCACGTCTCACCTCTTCCCCAAACTTGCCAATGGCTTCTCCACTCACTCGGAGTAAAAGCCAAAGTCCTTACCCTGTTCTCCACCACCCCACGTGTCCTGCCTCTCCTCACCCATCCTATGGCCTCTCCAGCTACCACACCTCCTCCTCTTTGAACTTGCCCTTGGGGCCTTCTCCTCAGCCTGGCTTCCTCTCTCCCTTTAAGTCTTTGCTCAAATGGCACGTTCTCAGGGAGGCCTTCCTTGACCCCCTATTTGAGATGACCCTCCCAGCACTCAGTCCCGATGTCCCTCCCGTTTCACTGTCTTTCCCACTTCGTGCATGGCCTCCGAGCCTGCCCTACACTTCACTTATTTATCGTGTTTATCTCTCTCCCCCACCCAAACATAGGGCTTCTCTGTTTTGTTCACTGACCTCTCTTCCCAGCGCCTAACACAGGGCATGGCACACAGCAGATGCTTAATAAATGTTTACTGAATGGATGACTGAATGAAGGAATAAGTGAACAGAGAAAGCAGTTCTTACCTATGTTGCCTTTTTGTCCCTTTGGTCCTTCTGGGCCTGGGTGGCCCAAGGGCCCAGGGATACCTGCGGATACACAAGAATCTCAGCCCCTACTTTCCTCCCGGAAGTGGGTGGCTGGCGTGAGCAGCCCCCCAAATACCAGCAGCACCAGAGGTCATCAGAGTCACACACCTGGAGTCCCAGGGAGCCCTCGATCTCCTGTGGGAACAAAGGTGAGAGAGAGAAGTCAGCCAGAGGACTCACTGGATTCCCTAAAGGAGCCACTGGTGGGATTCAGGTGGGGTCGCCAAATCTAGCAAATAAAAATACAGACATCCAGTTACATTTGAATGGCAGATAAACAACAAATAAATTTTTAGTGTAAGCATGTTCCATGAAATATTTAGGACATATTTATAGCAAAAATTTGTTGTTTATATGCTATTCAAATTTATCTGGGAGTTCTGTATTTTATCTGACAACTGTGGGGGTCTGGAACCATCAGTCTCTGTCCCCAGCACAGTCAGGAGGGGTGTGGCCTGTAGGCTGGAGCCTTGGGGGGCTGTGAGTGGGAGTAGGGGTGGGCAAGGAATCTGAAGGGAACCAAGTGGAGGAGCCCTAAGTGGGGGAACCCAGTTCCTGCATTGGGGTCTCCTGGGGAGCAAAGTGGAGCTGGGGAGAGAGGGTGACCCTGTCATCTTGAACAGATGTGGTTCTCCGTGTGGACTGTGCATCCCTGGCTGCAGAATGACTTGGGTGACTAAGACCAAAGACTCCTGGCTCCGTCCACTCCTGCTGAATCAGAGGCTCTGAGAGGGGGCCCAGAATCTTCTGGCGATTCCTATACACACTGAGATTTGCCAGCCCTGGTCAGCTGGATCAAAGAGCAGTGCTCTGTGTCCTGCTGAGGGTCACTGGGATTGGAAACCTCTTCCTCCTCCCCATGTGCCTGCTCCATCAATTGTAAATCACTTTTCTGAGTGTGAGGTGGGCTTTCTGACCCTTGCTGAGTGCTTGAAACCATCAACCCTCGCTAATATTTAAAGTAAAAGTCTCCATGTTATATTTACCTTTAGGACCTTGACTTCCCATGTCACCTAAAACCAGAAAGATAAGAAAACTGTGAGATGGGGTAAGAGCCCAGGAGCCATTCTCTCCCTAGTATTTTAAAGCCGTTTGGCAATATGTAAACTGCATTGCAGGGTGAGGCCACTGGTGTGGGAACCTCTCGGTCCCGGACTGTGTCACTTGGGCACATCGCTGGGTCTTTCTTCTATGCAGACTCAAGATATTCTGACTCCAAATCCCATTCTCAACCCTCCCCACCCCTCTAACTTCAGGAAATGACAGTGGGGAAGGGGCCCAATCTACAGCCATACCTTTAGGGCCAGGGCTTCCTAGGAGGTTTCCTACAAGAGAAAGTGAATCCTGAGTTAGTTTCACACCTTTTGTGTCACATACATGAAGGGGATCGTGGCATGGTGGGAAGAAACCGCGGCGAGGACTTGGACTGGGCTAGTGAGTGATCTTGGGCAACCGTCCTCTGCAAGACTCAGTTTTCCTGGCAATTCAGAGGGCTCATGATCCCACCTGGCTCTCAGGCAATTTTAGGGCTAGGAGGAGGAGAAAGGCTGGGGGTGGGCCGAATGGTGTCATGCACCCAGGCCACGCAGATGCAGAGTGGCAAGCTCACCGTTTTTCTGTTCCATCATTAGCCTCTTCCACACAAACTGCCAGAGCTCCTCCTCACTGTGGCCGCCCAGCCCGCTTTTCTCCACTTCCGCGCCGTCGCTGGGCGCCTTGCTGTGCAGGCTTTCCGTGTTGCTCCTTTCCATCTTCTCCTCCAAGTGCGGCATGCTGCCCTGCATCTTCTCCAGCTCGTCCACCCGGCCCTTCAGCTGCCGCACCTCCTCCGCTGAAACAGACACACACAGCCACGTCCCCCGAGGGCCCACCTGCTCCCGCCTGGGGGGGTGGGGGAACCTGACCTGGAGCTCTGGGGTCTCTGGGGGTTCTTCATGCCTCTGGGGACATTTTACTGGAATGCATGTACAGAGACAATCTGTTGTGGCCGCCAGCAGCATCAGCTACTCAACACTGTACCAGAACCTTAAAGAAGCCTGGTCTGGGCATCAGTTCTCTGAGCCAGGTGACAAAACTCACCCTCACTCCCTTGACGGGTGGTAAGAGCTGCCCAAAAAATGGGCTTGGAGAAGGTGAAATGCACCGGCTGTAAAGAGGCAGGCCTTACTGTTAAGGCAGCCAGATGCACACAGCAGGCTGCTACAGGAACAGAGAGGGCTGGGGGACTCAGGGGCTGCCTTAGAATCCCAGTTCTGCCACCAGTGACTGTGACCTCGGCCAGGTGCCTCCTGGGGCCTCAGTTTCCTCACCTGCAATACCAAGGTGTATGCACCCATGACCTCAGGCCCCTAGGCCCTGACACTTGGGACCCTTCACCATTACTGTCCTTCTGACTGGGGAGGGGGGCTTGCTGGCCTCCTGCCACCCTTGTCACATACCCAGAGCAATGAGACCAAAGAGCAGCCCCAGGAGCAGCAGCCAGGTTAGCAGCAGGCCCAGCAGCCATTTCCACCAGCTGCAGCAGGAGCCGCAGGGGCACCAGGCTGGCGCTGCCCCCCAGGTACCTCCGCTGCCACCGCCGCCACTGCCAACACCACCACCACCACCACCGCCGCTGCTGCCATGGTTGTAGCTGTGGATGTCTGTGAAGAGACAGGACAGGTGAGGCAAAGGAAGGTGGCTCCTGCCCTTTTCCCTCCAATTCTCTGGCTTCTGGTGACTTCTCGTGGGCCCTAGTGAATGTGACTGGGGGCTTTCAGGTTGCTGCGCGGCTCTGTGAAGGCTGGGGCTGGCTCCTGGAGTGCACCCAGGGAAGAGTAGGAGTCTGACTGTCCTGGGATCCAGCTGTGTGACCCTGAGAAGGTCCCTAACCTTGCTGTTTTCTCTGTTGTAAAACACGGTTAAAAGATCACCTACGTCCTAGGATGATTGTTGAATGAAATGAGACAAGACACATAAAGTAACAAGCAGAGGATGTGGGAAACCTTCACGATGAGTGTCACGTGGAACTGCCACAACCTCCCACGTCTGATCAGACCCAGAGCGTTCCCGTCTCCACATCTCAGTTCACACAGCCCTTTCTTGTCATCCCCACAGTGCCTAGAATTAGGCTCAGCACTTAAGGTGTGCCCAGTAAACTTAAAAACTTTTTTTTCTTTAAGTGAAAAGAGTTTTTAGTTCTTTAAAATGCGGCCGCAAGGCCTGACCCGCTTCTGTCACGGGCGCGGGAGGCAGTGAGGAGAGTGGAAGACAGTGTGAGGTGTGGTATCATCTTCAGCCGGCCTTGGGGCTTCTGTATACACACCGAGTATCCCTGTTGTGCTGCTCCTGCCATGTCGGGGGACCCTGGACCTAAGAGCCTACAGTGGGTGCCAAGGAGGGGTGGTGTGGCCCGTGAAGCACCATCCCCTGAGTAAACTCCTTCTGTGGCCACCTGCATCCCACGGCTTGCCCACACCTCCACCCTGCTCTCTGCTGAGACTTTAGGGACACTCTTCAGAGTCAGGTGGCTCCTGTGAGCACTCGTCCCAGGCCAGGGGGCTGCTGTCTGTCCCATTGACCATAGCCAGCCCCATTGCATCATGTCACTGCAGGACCTGCCCTTCTCACCCACCTGCAGAGGTGGCCTTGCCCTTTGCGGATGCTGTCTTCACATCTCCTGGAAGGACAAGCAGCAAGAACATGGGTTTTGACCTGAAATTTTACACTGGAGGAGCCACAAGACTGTCCCTCATGTTGATTTTAAGGAGAGCTTTGGGTAAATATGCCCCCAGGCACCT